CTGGGTAAGGTATTGTTCTTTTTCCCAGGAGATCTGTGGTAAATTTTTTAAAGTATCTTCTACACTCGCGGTAGGTATTCCTGGGTTTTGCAGTTTATGTGAATTTGGATGGATAGGCTTATTTTCCTTGCACAATAATTAAGGTCTTTCATGTTTCTTGGCTCAGTAGTTGGTGAGTTAGATTTTTATAATTCTTTTACCATCAAAGTTACTTTTGTTTACCTGTACAATTGGAGTTTGATTTTTTTGTTTTTATTTAATTTTTGTATAAGTGCAAGTTTTGCACATTGGCTGCTCTTTAGGTAAATGTAAACACCTCTGCTATATTTGTTGGTGTTTTGGTATGTTAGTTATACTTCCCTTAACTGTTTATTAGCTAGTTTGTAAATTTATTTTTGCCTTTATTACTAGTCACAAAAAAGTTGTGCTTTCCTCTATTCTCAAGAGATTTCTGGTCAGTGGTCCATCAAGGTATCTACTTTCCATTTTCAACATCCTAGATCTTTTGGCTGTATCATCTCATCCTGCTCCTGAGCTAGTGGGTGGTTATGACTCACTACATTTATTCCACTGTCATCAGATATATCACCTGGCAAGGGGGAACCTAATCCAGATCTATGTGTTTTTTTACTCTGGTTTTTCTTTACTTAGTCCATGACCACTACATGGAGATCTTAGCATGTCACGTTTCGGCTCCATGAATCTGGTGGCTAATTGCTTATATTGACCCAACCAGGTTCTCCCCTCATAGTGGTCCCTTTCTCCACAGGTATTTTGTTGGTTGTGTATTCACTTGGTAACACCTCATATATATCTGTTTGCCACTCACTGGCTTGCCTATGTTTCTTCGTTTTGGTTCTCTGGTTCCATGCTTGTTGGCTCTGGGAGTAGATGTCTTCAATCAGTTGGAGGGGTTTTCACTGATATTCCTACCCTATGATCACAGTTATCTCTAGGGTCTTTTCCCTTATCCAGACCACTCCTTATTATTCTCTGCTTGTTGCTTCGTATTGGCCATCTCAAGTGGGTTCCCTCTGCTCTGGCTATTAATGGAGCAGCAGCCCTGCCCTTACCTCTGTCCTGGTTGTTCCTCAGACTACTGCAGTTGGAAGTCATTCTTCCCAAATATCACCAACCTCCTCCTTCTTGCATGGCTTTTGTCCAGTCCTTTGCTTTGGCTTAGGGTAGTTTGTAAATTTCTTTTTGCCTTTATTACTAGTCACAAAAAAGTTGTGCTTTCCTCTATTCTCAAGAGATTTCTGGTCAGTGGTCCATCAAGGTACCTCATGTAGCATCTTTCCTTTCTCATAACAATTGATCTTCCTTCTTGTCTGTTCAGCAGAGACATTGGTCTACCTTTAGACTTTGGTCTATTCACTGTGGTTTCTGACCATTATATCCTTCTGTTCCTTCTCTGTCCCAATTCTTTACCTGGTTTTTAGACCAGGGTTTGTCCTTGTCAATTGATGCTCACAATAGGGCTGCCCTGTTGAACACCTTCCATTTCTCCTGTTTCCGGAAAGCCCTTTTCTCCATAATTTCTCTATTTTTCTGTTCCTTTTGTCTGGTCCATCTGCCACATCCCTTTGTTCTTCAGGGTTTGGATCTCAGTGTTGTTATTAATTGAAACATGTTCCTTGTACCATCCTTCCTTTCAGTCCTCTTTCCTCATCCTGGCTTGCAGTTGTCATCATTCTGATGTTTATACCATTGATGTTTTCCACTTCCTTTACCATTTCTCTTTTTTTTCTCCTTTTTTCTTTACCTTCCATTTGCACTTGTACTCCCCTTTTGTTCTGAATTGACTTCTTTGTCCAGGTCATTCCCTGCTATTTCAAATTCGATGACGAGG